TGAATGTTTGATAGAATTCTCCAGTGAAGCTGTCTGGGCCAGGGCTTTTTATTTTGTTGGGAGTTTTTTTTAATGACCTCTTCAATTTCTTCATTTGTTATGGGTCTGTTCAAATTTTCTACCTCAGTTTGCATTAGTTTATGTAAGTGGTATGTTTCTAGAAATTTGTCCATTTCCTCCAGGTTTTCAAATTTGTTGTAGCATAATTTTTCATAATCTGTTATGATCCTTTTTATCTCAGTTGGTTCTGTTGTAATGTCATCCATCTCATTTCTTATTTAAGTTATTTACATCTTTTCAATTCTTTTCCTTTGTCAATTTGGCCAGTGTTTTGCCGATTTTATTGATCCTTTCAAAGAAACAGCTTCTAGTCTTGTTGATTCTTTCTATTGTTTTTTGGTTTTGTTTCTTTCTGCTCTAATCTTAATTATTTCCTTTCTACTGATGACTGTGGACTTCTTTTGCTGCTATTTTCCTATTTGATCGAGTTGTAGGATTAAGCTATTGATTCTGGCCTTTTCTTCTTTTTTAATGTGTACATTTATTGCTATAAATTCTCTGAGCACTGCTTTTGCCGTGTCCCAAAGGTTTTGGAATGTTGTGTTTTCATTCTCATTTGATTCTGGGAATTTTTAAATTTCATTTTTAATTTCTTCTATTACCCAGTGGTTTTTTAAACAAGATGTTATTCTGTTTCTTTGTATTTGATTTTTTTTCCTCGTTCTTCCTATTGTGGATTTCTAGTTTGATAAGGTGATCAGAGACAATGCTTTGTATTATTTTGATGTTTTTTTAAATTTATTGAGGCTTACTTTATGGCCTAAAATATGGTCTATTCTGGAGAATGATCCATGTGCATTGGAGAAGTATGTGTACTTTGCTGCTATTGAGTGAAGTGTTCTGTATATATCTATGAGGTCAAGTTGGTTGATTGTGTTATTCAGATCTTCTGTATCTTTGTACAGTTTCTTTCTAGTTGTTCTGTCCTTCACTGAAAGTGATGTGTTACAGCCACCTACTATTATTCTTAGTTAGAGTTTGTTTTATGTATTTTGGAATTCTGTCAGGGGGTGTGTAACTGTTACGGTTATGTCCCCTTGGTGGATTGACCCTTTAATCATTATGTAATACCCTTCCTTGTCCCTTAGGGAACCCTGGTGGTGCAGTGGTTAAGAGAATGGCTGCTAAGTTTGAATCCACCAGCAGCTCCTTGGAAACCCTATGGGACAGTTCTACTCTGTCCTGTAGGTTTGCTATGAGTAGAAATCGACTCAACGGCAGTGGTTTTTTTTTTTTTGGCCCCTTATGACGGATGTTTCCTTACAGTCTATTTTATCAGAGATTAATATTGCCACTCTTGCTTTTTTTTGGTTACTGTTTGCTTGATATATTTTTTTTCCATCCTCTGATTTTTAGCCTATTTATATCTTTGTGTCTAAGGTGTATCTCTTGTAGGCAACATATTGATGGGTCATCTTTTTTTATCCACTCTGCCACTCTCTGTCTCTTGACTGGTGTATTTAAACCATTTACATTCAGTGTGATTATTGATAGGCATGGATTTACTGCTGTCATCTTGCTATGCTTTTTTTTTTTGTGTGGTGTTGACAGTTTCTTTGTTCCACCTAATTTTCTGTGCTGTCTTCTTTTTGTTTATGGATTTTCTTTTCTTTATTGTTGCTAATTTCATGTTTACTGAGTCTTTATGATTTTCTTCTTTTTTATTTTGGTGAGTAGGTTTTTGATTTCCTTGTGTGGTTACTCTGAAATTTACCTTTATCTTCCTAAGTTTAAAACAATCTGTTATTTCTTGATATTGCCTTGACGTCTCCATATGGAAGTTCTATGGCTACACCATTTATTCCCTCTTTTTGTTTTAAAGTTGTCATTGTTTACAAATCGGCATGTCTCGTTCCTGTTTTCAGTGTTGTAGCTTTGTTTTAGTTTTGAGAATTCTTTATCTGGGTTGCTATCTGAGTGATGCTGTCATATGTCTTAATCTCACATTGTTGTCTGATGTTATTTGTTCTCTGTCTGAAGGAACTCCTATAATATTTTTGTAAGGTTGATCTGGTTTTTACAAATAAAAACCTGAATTTATGCTTATCTGGGAATATGCTAGTTTCACCATCATATATGAGAGACACTTTGCTGTATGTATGATTTTTGGTTGGCAATTCTTTTATTTCAGAGTTTTGTATATGTCATCCTATTGCCTTCTTGCCTGCATGGTTTTTGCCGAGAAATCAGAGTTTAGTCTTATTGGTTCTCCTTTGTAGGTGACATTTCATTTTTTCCAAGCTGCTCTCAGGATCCTTTGTCTTTGAAATTGATTGTGATGTATCTTGGTGACTTCCTTTTGGGGTGTATCCTGTATGTGGTTCGTTGAGCTTCTTGGATGGAAATTTTCTCATCTTTCATGATTATTAGAGAAGTTTTCTGCGAGCAAATCTTCAAAAATTCTCTCTGTCCCTTTTTTGTCTCCTCCAGCTCTAGAATATCAATCATGTGTAAATTATTCCTCTTGATAGTGTCCCATATAACCCTTAGGCTTTGTTCATTTTTCTTCATTCTTTTTTCCTGATAGTTCCTCAAATAAATTAGTGTCAAGGAATTTGGCCTCTATTTCACTGATTCTTTCTTCCTTTGACTCAATTATACTTCTATGTCCTTCCATTGAGTTAACTATTTCTGATATTTTGTTGTTAATCTTTTGAATTTCTAGTTGCTGTTTTCCTATGGTTTCTAATTGTCTGTTTTGTCATTTTGTTCTTGTATTGTTTTTCTGAATTATTCTAGAATTTTGTCTGCGTTTCCCTTAATCTCTTTGAGGATTGTATATATAAGTCTTGAATTTCCTTAGAAGATTGTTCCACTACAATTTCTTCCTCAGGAAGGTATTCTGCTGCTTTATTTTGGTCACTTGCTTGAGCCATCATGTCCTGCTTCTTTATATGATTTGATATTGTCTGTTATTAAGGCATGAGGGTGTTATTTTATTGATTGATTGTGTTTGTTTGCTTCATCCTGATTTTTTGTTTTGTTTTGATATATCTGGGTGGGCAGGGTGGGCGTGCTGCACTGGACATTAGTCTGGTGGCAAGGCAGCACTACCACCTGTCTCTGGGTGGGTGGGGCAGTGGCTGCCAGTGTGAGTTCAGGTCTCTGTTTGCTAGTTATGTGGGACATCTGAGGGTGGGCTGGGCAGGCATTGGCCATTGCTTGTCAGTCCAGCAGCACAGGAGCGGGTGATGGCACTTCCTGAGTGGGTGGGACAGCGAGTGTGGGGGGTGGGAGGGACAAACGAGAATGCAGGAGTGCGTTCTTCTCTGCTCACCTTGTCAGCAGGCAGGGTTGAGTGGCAGGTGAACAGACGCATGAAAGCACACTCTCTGCTGCTCTTTGGGTTGATGGGTGGGGGTGGGTGGCAGGAGTGTGGGAGCATGCTATGCTACTTGCCAAGTCAGTGGGTGAGGGTAGGTGACGGGCAAATGGGGACATAGTAGTGCACTTGCCACTGTTCACTGGGTTGGGTGTGGGTGGCAGAGAAGTGAGCATGTGGGAGCATGCTTACCACCACTCAACAGGGCAGGGATGTGGGTGGTGGGCAAGCAGACAAGCAGAAGCAATCTTGCTGCTGCTTACCTGATCAACAGGCAGGAGTTGTTTGTGGATGAGCAGGGGCATGGTAGCATGCTTACTGTTGCTTGTCAGGCGGGCTGTGGGGTGGCAGATGGGACTGGGTGAGGGAGAAATGTAGGCTTGTATTATGGTCCCCAGGCAGGTGGGGTGGCAGGGATATGGCGTTTTCTGCTGCTAATGATCAGCAGTGGGAGAGGAGGGAGAGCGTGCTCCTCTGTTCATCTGATGTGGGTGCCTGGGCACGTTCCACTGGCTGCAGCCAGCAGTTGGGACCTGGCCCTGAACAAGTGTCAGGAGAGGGTGTTGCCTGGAGTCTGGTTGGGTAAGTGACCTCCTGCTGACACTCTATGGATCCGTTACTCTGTATGCATCATCCACCCTAATGATCAGGGATTGCTGCTGGTGAGTATACCTGTCTCTGGATCCTGGCTCCCTCCTTACTCTGTGGACACCAGGATCTCAGGAGCTCTCACCCTCCTTCCTGTGCTTTCCCTCTTTAGATCTGGATCATGTTCTGTTTACCTTACTTCACTCTGGGTATGTCTACACAGTTTCTTTGTCTCTTACTAGGAATTCCATGATGTTGCTTTCCTGAACTACTCACCTGGGGTTGCTACTGGCTTTGTCTCAAGATAGCCATGCTGTGCCAGGATGGCTGACAGGACATCTTCACTCCGTATCACTCCTCGTTTTCTGCCTTTGTTCAATTTCTTCTTCTAGTCGGTGTTTGATTCAATTCTTTATCCTTCCTTTTGATGTTCAGGGTTCCAGGATTGTCATCTGCATCTCTTTCACCTCATTTCTTGTGTATTTGCTGTAGAGCGATGGCATGGTGTGGCTGAGTAAGCTGCAATCTTGGCTCCACTCCAGGAGTCTCCTTATTGATAACTGATTCTGAGATGAAATAAGAGATAAATGAATGAGTGCTAGCTCAGCAGTTTGTGTCAGCCAACTTTGCCTTTCTGTTTAAAGCAATTCTTATCAGAGATCATGTCCACATATATTGGGTGTTATGAAATGGTGTTGCTTATGAGAAGATGTCAGGGGCCAAGAAAAGGCTGTTCCTTTGGAAGACCAAACAGTGTCTCTTAAATCAGAGAAATTTACTTTGGATACCATAAGGATGACCAAAAAAAAAAAAAAAAAAAAAACTGATTTAAATTGATAGCAGATTGTGTGCTGTCCTGAATTTTATCCTAACATGCTGAGATAATGACATCATTCCTAGCGTACTACATTGCCTGTCTCTTATGGATATTTCCCCAAAGGGCAAATTGCCAAATACATTTTTTATTGGACTTGATGCTTGCTCTGGTGCAGACTGAGTTGTGTGATTCTCACTTTTTTTTTTCATTTAGATTTGGTTTCAAAACCACAGACGGAGTCATCGAAGACAGAAACAAATGGAGTCTGGATGCTCCTTTGGGGAAGATCAGGGACAGGATAAGCTTCAGTCTAGGACTCAAGGTAAGGAGCCACCAGTCTAAATGCAATTTCTCAATGGATCCCATGGACAGTAGAAACCACTCTGTATGTTGTACCCAAATACTCCACAAGAATACTTAGGATAAGAACAAAATATAGCTTGTTCTGGACACCCTAACGTCAGAGACATAAACATTGTCCAAACATTTGGCTGTGACAGGCCAGTTCTTAGCAAAGAAAACTTGGATTTCTGATCCTGCTGCTGCTAGGAAGTGAAGCCTCCTCGTCTCTGTCACTCTGAGGTTTTATTCTAAGGGTAGAACAGGATGATGTGTTCCTCAAGGGGGTGTAGAAGGAGTAAAAGTGGTTAGAATGATATTCAAAAATTGGTGTTTGGTGTTTTAATGTGAAAGCTGGCTTAAAAGCCCTCTTTTGTACCTGTGTTCTCCTTTACCAAAAGAAGCCAGACGAAGTCGAACATCCATCACAAGTACTCAGAAGAGCATCCTAGTTCAAGCCTTTGAGAGGAATCAGTACCCTAATATTGCTATCAGGGAAGAACTGGCTCGACAAACAGAGATTCCAGAGTCAAGTATTCATGTAAGTTCTAATGCTATGGCACCACATTTGTCTCCCCTAGAAATATTTCCCCCCGAGATGTTGCGTGGTGTATTTGGTTTATTTGGGTTATCACAGTGGTCTAAGGCAACGGTATGAGGTGGTAAACACCTGGCACTGCAAGTTACAGTCCTGCAAAAGGAAACATTTTAAAACCCACCTACCAGTGGGGCATACACTCTGAAACAATAGAAGGAAAAAAGTGGGAAAATGTGAAAGTTAATACTATTTTGGAAACATCCTCTATGTCAAGGTTTCTAAACTTTGGCAATATTGTCATTTGGGGCTGAATAGTTCTTTGGTTTGAGGAGTTGTTCTGTGCATGGTGGAAAGTTATTCAGCATCACAGATGCCAGTATAGCCCCTGTCCCTATTATTCTAGCTGTGATGACTGACAAAACCTATACACTGTTGCCAAGTGACCTCCAGTTGAGGAGTAAAAATTGCTCTTGTTGAGTACCTTCTCTCCCTTTGTTAAATGTTACAGAATTATGAAGCACACTCATAGGATAATCTACACAGAAACTCTCAAACACTATTAATCATGTTGATAAAGTTATGAACATATTTATAAATGTGTGTCTAAGACACGTATTGTCTTAAACACATCAGCAAAGAGGAAAAATGTCAACCTTGTCAAGGCAGCTTGTTTGCATATCAAGTGTTGAAATTAAAGGGTATATTCTGGAAACTATACCTGTTCAACCAACTGGAGTTTCCCTTTCATCTATAGTTGATAGTGGGGTGTGCCATGATCTCAATTTGTCTGCTTGTATTATATAAATGGAACATATGGACCAAATTTATTAATTTCAACTCCAGAACACTTTGTTAAGAAAATTTGTGACACAGTAGATGATTTTCATATGGATCACAGAATTGCCAAGAGGAGGAAAGATTTGTTTTTTTAATAATTTATTTTATTTATTTTTGTTGTTGTTGAGAATATACACAGCAGAACATACACTAATTCAACAGTTTCTACATGTACAATTCAGTGACAGTGATTACATTCTTGGAGTTGTGTAGCCATTCTCACCTTCCTTTTCTGAGATATTCCTCCTCCATTAACATAAACTCACTGCCCCCTAAGTTTCCTAGATAAACTTTTGAGTTGCTGTTGTCAATTTTATTCCATACAGATAGATCTTGAAAGAACATAATGCTCAAGGCAGACATTTTTTACTAGTTAATCTAAACTATTTTTGGTTTTAAGAAGACTTTAGGGATATTTTTGGTTTCAGTTTTAAAGATTATTTCAGGGAAACAGTTTTGGGGATTCATAAACCTCCATGGATCCAGAAAATCTGGATTCCATGAGAATTTTAAATTCTGTTCTGCATTTGGCTTCTTTTGATCAGGACTCTTCTATAGAATCTTTGATCAGAAGGTTCAGTAATGGTAGCAGGACACCATCTAGTTCTTCTGGACTCATGTCAAAGGAGGCAGGTTGTTCATGGAAGCAATTAGCCACACATTCCATTTCAAGAGGGGAAAAATTTAAAGGAATTATGATTGTGTGTGAACATGATGATCTCTGGGCTGGGGTGATGGATTTCCAAATATATGCCTTACAATACAAATAAGACTAATAATAAATTATAGAGTTATAGAAAAATGAAAACAAAAAAGAAGGGCCGTGTAGAGTGATAAAAGCCTGATATTCTAATAAATCAATGCAGAATACATCTCAAGGCAAAAAACAAAAACAAAAAAACAAGCAAACAAGCAAAACAAGAACAAAATCTGTTGCCATTGACTCAATTCCAACTCATGGTGACCCCATGTGTTTCAGAGAAGAACTGCTCCATAGAACTTTCTTGGCTGTAATCTTTATGGAAGCAGAGCACCAGGCTTTTCTACTGTGGTGCCACTGGGTGGGTTCAAACCATGTATGCACCAGACACCCCTTGGCAATTCTATGGGGGCAGTTCTACTCTGTTGTATAGGGTCGCTATGAGTTGGAATCAACTCGACAGCAATGGTTTTTTGTTTTTTTTTTTAACCTTGGTTGAGTAGTTAAGCACAAATCATTTAGGTCACCTAGTGTCTTACATCTCAAACACGAGTAAATTGCTTTTAATTTGGACATACTTTAAAAGACCAAATGTTATATATTGTATTACCCTGAGATTAGCTTTGTAGAAATAACCCCTTTGCTTTACAGTGTATGAAATATAGAGCTGGAATCTCTTATGTCTTCACATGTCCCTGTCTCCCTATTCTGCACCTAGAAATGGTTCCGGAATCAAAGAATGCGACACCCAAAAGGACAGAGTACAAGAAAACATGTGAATTCCTTGACAGTTGACCTAAATTTGAGTGTTCAGCAGGACCAAAGCAACCATTCCACTGTACGAAGCACGTTTCATCATTTTCCTCCCTCTAATTCTTTCAGCAGGAACCAAACACTTACACCTGCTCTTCTTCTGTCCTACATGTCTTTTGCTCCTTGGGATCCCAAGCACCCAATTGTGAGCCAAGCACCAGGTGTCATGATGGTCCAGCCCACCCAGACTCTTCAGAGAGGAGAGAATTCTCATAGCCCTCTGACACTTTTGAATCACTTGTCAATCAGTGATCTGAGAAGGGGGCTCTTAGATACTCAGACTCCTTCCTGGCCCCAATGCCAAGGAAAATGCCCTGATCACAACGAACACAATGGACTGGCAGGATTGCACATCCAGCACTATTCTCAGCCACAACCTGATAACAAAAAACAAAAATGGTGGGATCAAAGTCAGCAAGACCTAGCTCTCATTACACAATACTGGGATGAGATGTGCCAGGCTCTGATAGCTGAATGGGAACCTCCTGAAGGGACACTGTGGCCTCCAGGATTCCCTGAGATGGATCTGTGACAGCATCAGTTTGAGAGCCCTGTCCTTCATTGACCAACCGCACCAGTAAGGGGTAGAAACCTCAAGCTTTATAGATCAACATCTCATCTGTCAAACAGATCAAAGACACAACCCTTTGCATTTGGATCCACAGAAGGAGGCCCCTCCACAATCTGAACCACCACTCAGTGTAGATGATTTTCAGGTTTCCTCCACATGCTGCGAAGGTCACCAAGACCTCAGAAGAGGAAGATGTCATTCTGATGTTCCTGGTCCTGGCCTCCTCTTCTTTGATTGGAATCAGAATGATTTAAGGGACAATGAACAACGAGGATGTCACAATCAGGAGCAAGATTAAAGCAGGAAGAAAGACAAATCACTTGGAAACCCAAATGGAGGCTTTTACTCTGTCCTGTGGGCAGTGCTTGCCTTCTGTATTCACCTCATTATCTAAATGACGGTTTCAAATCTTCATTCTGCATCAGGAGGCACAACAGGCACCAGGCAGCAGACACATACTCTGAATCCTTGATGGACAAAAGTATTTTCTGCAGTCATCACCTCCTGGCCAGTCTGGACAACTAGTAAACTCTAACTGAACTCAGGCTAAGAAAATGGTTCTAACAGGGACACATCTGCCATTATTTCCCTTCTGGCAATATGAGAAGTCAAATGGAAATGAGTTTGATGTGTAGAAAACAAGAGGATGCTGTATTTCCTGATGATGTGAGTTCATAAAATTGAGTGTTTTCCTATCTCTGAGGGTTGGAGTTGGGAAGTGGAGATTACCTCAGTAACCATCAATAAGAAAATGATTAAATAGCTTATGATATACCCAAAATACTAAGTACTCTTCATTTATAAATGTATTTTTTTCTCTTAATCATTTAAAAAGTCCAGAAAACTACAAGTAAAATTACAACAGCAACACCATGTCATCACTGAGAAAAGTCTGTTGATGTTACTATGGTGACCCCATGTGTTACAGAGAAGAACTGCTCCATAAGGTTTTCTTGATTGTAATCTATAGGGTTGCTATGAGTAGGAATGGACTTGATAGCAATGTTTTTTTTAATCTTTAAGGAAACAGAATCACAGTGCTACCTGGTGGGTTTGAACTGCCAACCTTTAGACTGATAATTGAGTGCAAACCGTTTGTGCCACCCTGGGACATTTTCCACATTTTTAGATTTTTTTTCATGTTTTTGTACATACAGGCAGTCTCCGGGTTACGAACGCCTGACTTACGTACAACCCATAGTTATGAACCAACCCTTGTAAAGGTCATTATATTTAAAATTCGGGGTACACACAATGGTTCATAATAACAAACCAGCACAACTCTGCGACACGCAACAAAACATTATCATTATTATCAGTGTATTATTATGTTAATCATGCTTTAGTGTATTTGCAAGTATTTACTGTTTTTTCTGCATAGAAAGGTACACTATATGCTACATACTAAGACAAACATTTGAGAAGCTGACACTAGATACAAACCATAACTAACTGTTAAAATATGACTTAAAGACAGACTTAGGGACGGAACTTGTTTGTAATCTGGGGACCGCCTGTATATATGTAGCCACAACATTCTCCATTTCAGTATAAATAAATTGTATGTATACTAAAACCTCTTGGTCGTCCTTAATGTGAGACTCGTCCCTTCTTTGGAAATGGTAACTTCTAAAAATATGTTACAGTGTGTCAAGCTGTATGTCAACTTATATTAGTACAACTAATATATCTTTGAAAAATAATTATTGCTTCTTTGTGTTATTTTATCAATTTACTTTCTGCCCTGCGGTGCAATTATTTCGGTAATTTACTTTGTCTCCTTTCCACGTGAAGGTGTGGGAACTAGGTCAGTACACCTAGATCTAGTTCACAGCTTATATCTGTAGAGATACCAGTTTCACACTACTACAGACTGTGCAGTGGACATACTTAATGTGCCTCTGGGTACGTTATGTGCAAGAGTTTCTCAAGGTTTTATACACTGAAGTGCAGGTGCCAGAATATTGCAACCTCTGTTTATTGCCAGATTACCCTCAGCAGTAGTTATTGGTCCTACTATACATTCAACTTTGAGGGCAGTGGTGGTTCAGTGGTAAAGTCTCGCCTTCCATGAGGGAGACTTGCCTTCCATGCAGAAGATTCCTGACTAATGCACCTCATGCACGGACACCACCCGTCTGTGTCAGTAGAGGCTTGTGTGTTGCTCTGATGCTGAATAGATTTCAGCTGATCTTCCACACTAAAGGCAGACTAGAAAGAAATGCCTGATGATCTACTTTCAAAAAATCAGCCAATGAAAAGTCTATGGATCACAACAGTCCAAACCCATTGTGCATAAAGTTCCCATGAGTCAGGGGCTGTAAAAAGTGTCAGAATCTGTCTAACTTCAGCGGGTGTAATGACTAGGATCTGCCCAAAGCCGATTCCCATGAGGTGGAGATCAGACATACCTCCACTCTCCAACCTTTTACCAATTCTGACACCAGCCATCCCTCCCATGCCACTCTCTACATCTCTGTTGGCTTCGATAATTTGTTACAATGAGCACCCAAAACCCAAAGACCATACTTACAGTTAAGTGATTTATTAAAGAAGTAACAGGGTACAACTCGGGATCAGGACCAGGAAGCATGTAGGCAAAGTCTGGAAGGCTCCCTCAAAGTGGAGAGCACATACCTCCCTTCTTCAGTACAGGACAGCCTCTCAGCTCCTCTCAGCTGTGCGAGCAAACAGGCCCTTCTCTCTGCCAGGCACACCGCCTCTCAGCAGTGCAGGCCTCCTCTCAGCCTCCTCAGGACAGGCTTTTCCTCAGCCCCCTCAGGACAGGCTTCTTCTCATCCCCTTCAGGATAGGCCTCCTTTTGGTTATGCACACCCCCCTCAGCCTTGCAGGCCTCTCTGTCTTCAGCCTCCCTGCCGTTGGCCTCTCCACTGCTGACTGACCCAGCTCACAGCCAGTGGAGCAGTTTTGTTCGGCTCTCTTAGCTGCGTTCCCAGCAGCAGGTTTCTGCCATCACCACTGACTCTGCCGCTGGGCCCCTTTTGGGCCTGTTGCCCCTAAGCTGTGCCACAAGGCCTCTTCCAGGCCTTTTGCTGTCTTCAGTGTTACAGCCCTTGACCTGTGTTCCAGATCTTTTAGGAGGTTCCTAGCTTCCTCTCACTGCTTCTCTCTTCTTGCATTTCTTGCCTTTTCTCCTTTCTGCTTCTTTCATCCCTCTTCTGTCTGCCAACCTCTGTGGGGTTGGCTGCATATATAAGCAAACTCCTGGTCAATTTCAAGGCTGGCCCTTTCACCAGGGCCACGAACTGACCAACCCCCTCTGGGTAGGCCACAGACACTTCATTTGCGTAGTCTGTAGTCACTTCATTTGCATTGACCAATCCCTATAAGGTGCATACCAATCACAAGGCAGGCTGCAGCCCAGGGCCAGACAAAAAGTATCAAACCATCTTTGGATACAGTTTCCCAGGAAATGTCAGTCAACCTGGATGAAAATAACAAACCCTCTAGGGTAGAAAACTGGGGCAAACCTAACTCCTCAGGGCTTAGAGGAAAAATCTCTCAAGCTGTTTTTCCAGAGAACCAAGACAAAAGATGACATAAAGAAACTCATTTCCCCACAAAGGCTGACTCTACGGCAGCTAGCAACAAATGTACATTCATTAATCACCTAGTGAATTAAAACACACGCGTGTGTGCATACACAGGTACGGACACAGACGAAAATACACACATCTTAGAAGCACAAATCTACCTAAAAAGAAGCTGATATAATTATTTGATATTGTTGATAACAATGCTTTTTTTTAGGTAATTTCCCCAAGATGATTCTTATGTGTTTCCAGAGAACAGAGATCATAGTACTACTAGTCACATGTTCATATTTCCAACACATATGTGGACAGACTTCTCCAAGTTATGAAAACAAATCTGATGTTCATATATCGTGAAACGTATTTGTATCTATAATCTATATTTATACTTAATCTACATTTTCATCTACAGCTATCTGCATATGTATATCTATATGTATATTTATATAATTATATATTTGCCTATAATTATAAATATGTCTGTACTAAATCTACATCTCCACTCTCCTGCTCCCTACATTCTTATCTCTCTCTATATGTATAGCATCTGATGGGAAATAGCTGGAATTGTGGTCTCTTGAGGAAAAAAGATGAATTTTGGCTTCTGAAGCAAGAGTTCAGGACTCAGTCACTGGAGCAAAAAGTGGATATTTAGTGTCTGGAAAGGGAAACTGTTTCCACTACAAGTCCTGAATTTCATGTAACTCAGAAGTCCTTTTCAAGATCTGGGTCTACCAGATGTCGTATTCTTAAGCCAATGTGAGGAGCTTGCTGGACATGCAACAAGTGGATAGCATTGAAGTCTTAAAGCTTGCTGTGGGCTAAACTGCTGTGGACTGAAGGCAGAACTGAGAGCCCAGGACCTGCAAGTTTTTGGCCCAGGGCTAGAGAACCACAAGGAGGGTTGGTGTCCAGGACTGGGGCATCTGATTGCCTCATGTCTCTGGATGGCCTCTGCCAAAAGGCATCTGGGCTCTCCTGGGACAGAAAATGGTGGCGTGGGGTCTCCTCCCCAGTCCCTGCCTAGATGGTGCAGGTCGGTGGGCCCAGCATGGTAACCTCCTGCCATCGTGTGGACGAAGCCTCAGCAGTGAGAATTGGGGAATGTCTCCTTTGGAGATGTAATCAGGGTTTAGGCTCTGGAAGAATTCTGGATTATTCACAAGCAGCATAGGTTGGATCTTTTAAAATTGAGGTATATATCATAAAACTCACCATTTTAAAGTGTACACTTTAGTGCTTTTTAGTTTAGTCACAAAATTGTGCAACCATCATTATTATCTAATTCCAGAATACTTTCAACACTCCAAAAGTAAACTCTTTAGCCCTTATCAGCTCTCATTCCCCTTCCCTCCAACCCCAGACAAACGATCATCTACTTACTACCTTATGTATTTGCCTATCCTAGACGAATCATAGAGGGGGCGTGAAAGACAGGAAGACCCTCAATAAGATGGATTGACACAGTGGCTG